ATGTCTGCCTCTTAGGGAAAGACTGTAGAGTTGGAGCCTCTAAGATCTGGGATGCTGGGGTGGGGTGTAGCTCAGTGGCAGACTGTGTGTTTAACATGTTCAGGGCCCTGGGTTCAGTCCCCAGCACCAAAACAGAAAACAAGATCTTGGAGGCTGAAAGCTCAAGACTGGGAGCTTGGCCTCCAGGCCCCAGAGGTGAAAAAATCCTTAAGACACAGCTTTAAAGTAAACCAGGTCAGAACCGTAGTAGCCTGGCTGGTCAGACTTTGTGTGACCACCTCTGCTCCCCAGGGGATGTGTGTAACATCTGGGCAGAGTAACTTCGCTCTGGGATAAGGCCAGAGTGTGAGATCCCAGCTGGTAGGCACCAGCCAGAGTCAGGGGAAGGGAGAGCACTTGCCAATTCATCTATAAATTGATTTATAGATGTCTTTATTGTAAGCTGATAATTACTGGTGTCATTTTCTTGTCTTGTCTTTTTCAATTTTCTTTCCCCTTGTCTTTCTTTCTTCTTTTTTTTATTGATTAAAAAAATGACAGCAGAATGCATTACAATTCTTATCACACATAGATACCACAATTTTTCATATCTCTGTTTGTATATAAAGTATGTTGACCCCGGTGTCATTTTCTAACAAGCTTGGTTTGGTTCATTCTAGCAAGTGTTTCAATTGCCTGAGAGCATCTGGGGATCATCACTGGGCAGAGTGACTGCTGCAGAGAGATTTGGAAAGTCATGGTGTATCATTCAGAATACACTCAAGAATAGGTCCACAGTACTCTGAAAAGCACTTTAAATTAAGTGCAAATTATCAAGGACACAAATAATAATAAATGCTGGCGAGGATGTGGGAGAAAGGTACACTCATGTTGTTGGTGGGACTGGGAAATCAGTGCAACACCTCTGGAAAGCAGCGTGAAGACTCCCCCCACCACCACCACCATCAAAATGGGAATGGAACCACTATATAACCCAGCTATCCCTCTCCTTGATATTTATCCAACAGAACTAAAATCAGCCTCCTACAGAGATACATGCATTCTAATGTCTGTAGCAGCACAACTCACCGTAAGCTATGTTATGGAACCTGCCCCTATGCCCATCAATAGATGAATGGATTAAGAAAATATGATGTATATACCCAATGCAGTTTTATTCAGCCATAAAGAAGAATGAACTTATGGCATTTGCTGTGAATGGGTGGAGCTGGAGAACATTGTGCTAAGTGAAATAAACCAGTCTCAGAAAGTCAAGGGTGCAATATTTTCTCTCATATGCAAAAGCTAGAGCAAAATAAGGGGGAAATGGGGACAGGAATCACAAAAACATAGGGAAGATCAGTGGAGTAGAGGAAGAGAGAGAGGGAGGGAGGATGAGAAAAGGGAGGAAATGCAGAATGAATTTAACAAAATCCCTTATGTGCACATACAAATACCACAAGGAATCCACCTTTATGTATATCTATAAAGTACCAATCAAAAATAAATAAAGCGAAAGGAAGAGTAAAAGGAAGACCAGCAGGCAGAGGAAGGAGACTAGGGGAGGGAAGAGGGGAGGAGAAGGGACCACTGGGGGCTGGAATGGAGTGAATCACGTTCCACACATATGACTTTGTCAAAAGGAACCCAACTATATGTGTAACCAAAGTGCACTAATATACAAAAAATATAAGTGTAAAAACAAAAAATAATGTTTGTAAAAAAAGCTATTATTGCAAGGAATATAAGTCTGCCAGTTATTAACTTGTACCAACTAACCTTGTCCTAACATTTTGTCAGGCAGGAGACAAAGAACACAGCTGAGTTTTTTCATTTTCTACTAAATACCCAGTGATCGATTAATGATGTCTTGCTTTTTAAGTTCACAAAATTCATTGTTTTTTAAAAAAGAAGTAATCAAAATTTTTGAACCCCCATTAGATTGTCCTACTATGATGAAGAGTTTATCTTGGCCTCTTTTATTGTAAGAGTATTAAACTTGGATAGTCTCTTATCAGTATTTGAGCATCCAGAATATCCTGTGGCTCTGCCAAATTAAAATAAAACAAATTTACAGACACAGTGTTTCTAAACTGAGTAAGTTTCTGGACCCTAAATAGAGAATATGACTATAAATGTATCACATTGATACAATGTTTTGTAGCAGGCAAGATCACAGTGGAAGAGACCAGGGGTTAGCAGAGGTTGGGTTCTGGCCCATTTTTTTTTAAGTAGAACATTGGGCAGGATTTGTAGGGGGAATATTTATTGCCCAGGAAACTGCAAAGCCAGAAAGGAGCAAAAGTATTCAGGAACTGGGTTTCAAGACACAAAAAAAGCACATGTGCGAATGGCGTGAGCATCTGGGTGGGCGAGAGCCGGACACTTCACAGGGTCAGCAGGGGCAGGTTTTAAGGCAAGGACACTTCCACCTGCAGTATCAGATCACTGAGCCAGTTGTTTCAGTCAGGTTTATCCCTGTTCTGATCAAAGGACCCAACAAAAACAATTTTAGAGAAGGACAAGTTTATTTGGGTGCTTATTCAGAGGTCTCAGTCCATAGACGGCTGGCCCCATTGCTCTGTGCTGGAAAGGTGTGGAAAGGTGTGGTGGAGAGAAGTGACTCAGGACATAGCCACCAGCAAGCAGAGAGAGAGACTCCCCTCACCCTGGGACAAAATATATGCCCAAAGCCACGCCCCCATGACCCCTCCTCTAGCCACACCCTGCCTGCAGTCACCACTCAGTTCATCCCTACCAGGGATTGATGAGTTGATTAGGTTAAGACTCTCAACCCAGTCATTTCACCTCCAAGCCTTCTTGCATTGTCTCACACGTGAGCTTCTGGGGGACACCTCACATCCAAAATATAACACCTGTTAACACAGCATCATGGCAAAATTAGAACAAAGTAAGTGTTGCTTCTTCGAGTTGTCACTTAATGCCTTCTGCAAGCAACACCTAAGTGGGGAAAACAGGGATTTCGCCATATGATAGAATTCACCAACCCTGCCTCACAATAAGGACGCACTGGGTCAAGAAGGAAATGACACATGTCAATTTTTGTTGCAGTTTGGACCGGGGTGGGGAGGCTTTGTCTGGTCTCTTGTGTATATGTCTCAGTTGCCCCCTTGTTACTCAGAGGGCAGTGGTGTGGCAGTTGAGAGAAGGACTCTGCTTAGCACACTGTTGACCTCGCCTCTCTGGGAGGTCTTCCTCAACCATCCATCTGGAATAACACCTACCTCGTGGAGTCCTGAGGACTAATTAGTTAAACATGTGCAGCCTTAGAATGGTCCCAGCACATAATAGGCATTCACAGAGGCTACCAGTTGGTGTCACTACCCCCTTCAACCAAGAACGGGGCTGCACACCATCCCCAGCCTCCAAATTGACAACAGAAATGGTGGCTGGTTGATGGCCTATTGATGGTGGACCCCATGGTCATGCTCATTTCTATCGGGTTTGGGACCCTTCCATGGACTTATAGAATTGGCAGCTGGAGATCAGCAGTGCACAGGGACTAAAGCTGGGTTTCCAAATCACCTGTTTCCAAGTGCCAAAATCTCTCCTATGTTTTCCTCTTTACCAACTTTCCCATCAAATGGGTTCATAGTTAATGAATTCCAAGATGGGAGTGTCTGTCCAAACAGAGACAGCATAGGTGGTGCATGCTGAGCACAGCCTTTGCACAAGCTGTAGATGAAAACACATAAAGAGAGTCATTGCAAGGAACTGGCTCACACAATTGGAGAAGCTAATCCCAACATCTGCATCACCACGCTGGAGGCCCAGGAGAGCCGAGGCAGCTCCAGTCTGAAAGCTGCAGGACTCGCGACCCAAGGAAAGCCTGTGTCAAGTCTAGTCTGAAGGAGAGAAAGACCAGCTCTGCTCAAACAGTCAGGCAGGAGGAGGCCCCTCGGCAGAACACTACCAGCAGCTGCTGTCTGCCTAGCTAGTCCTTCCCTAATCATCTACCTCCTTAGCTCAGGAACTGCCCCCTAATGCTTGACCTCTGCCCATCTTTACCAGGGGACCAGTTCTTTTCCAGGAAAATCCTTAGTGTTAGACAGTTCTGAGCTCCCAGCTGGCTTTGGATCCAAAGCTACACTCTCCAGGAGTGAATTCAAAACACGCCCTGAAACCACCTGTGTTCAGCCATCAACACCACCATCTGGAGACTGAACCAGTTGAAGTTCCACATCCCTCACCAGGAGAGGCCTACCAACCGACGTCACTGGTTTTCTCTGCCTGAGGGAAACTGGATGTTTCTCCAGCCATAATTCAACTCCAATCCACAGACACTTTGAAAAATATTAGGAGGCTCAGAAGTACCACTCCTAGAAGTCTTTGAAAAGGAAGGAATGACACATCACAAGGGCATCGGCACCTCTGAGTCATGCCACAAGTTGTGGGGCAGCCGTGAGCCAGGAAGAGAGTAGATTAATCCACTGAGGTGGATTGACTGGGTGGTAATTGAAGGCAGGTAGGGTGTGTCTGGAGGAGGTGGGTCACTGGGGTGTGCCTTGGGGTTTCCTCTTTTTTCCTGGTGAGCAGAGCTCTCTCTGCTTCCTGATGCCATGTCCTGAGCTGCTTTGCTCCGCCATGATGCTCTGCCTCACCTTGGGCCCGGAGCCATGGAGTCAGCCATCCATGGTCTCAGACCTCGGAAACCGTGAGCCCCAAATCAAGTTTTCTTCCTCTGTATTGTTCTTGACTGGCCTTTTGGTCACAGTGATGAAAAAGCTGAGAAAACAGACTAAATGCCTATGGTTCCTTAACCTCTCTTTCAAGGGTGCCATTGGGGTTCACCCAACTCTGTCACACTCAGAGGCATTCACAAGGACAGGGAGGGGAAGATGACAAAGAGTGATCTTTACTATTATCTCAGGGCTCAAAATCCCACTAAAAATATTTCCGATATTTGGTAAAAGAGTTTCCCTACAGTGGATGTGGCTGGGTCTTGTTCTGTAGTCCATCCTTCAGTGGATATTTCTTTATGTTCTTTTGTAGGTAGTCAAGTGGTTTCAACCTCAGATCTCTAGCAAGAGCCACGAAGAAGAAAACAGTCTAAAGAAAGAGAGGGGTTTTCTGTGACATCCAGAAAACATCCCTGTGCTCCCCACAAGCAGGAGAAATGAAGCCCCTCGTCAATGTACACGGACCCGGCAACGACAGCGCCAGGAACAATTCAGACTGTCCTCACGTGGTGCTGCCAGAGGAGGTGTTCTTCACCATCTCCATCGTGGGGGTTTTGGAGAACCTGCTGGTCCTTCTGGCCGTGATCAGGAATAAGAACCTCCAGTCCCCCATGTACCTCTTCATCTGCAGCTTGGCCGTTTCCGACATGCTGGGCAGCCTGTATAAGATCTTGGAAAACATCCTGATCATGTTCAGGAACACGGGGTACCTCGAGCCACGCGGCACTTTCGAAACCACCGCGGACGACATCATCGACTCCCTGTTTGTCCTCTCCCTGCTCGGCTCCATCTCCAGCCTGTCCGTCATCGCGGCCGACCGCTACCTCACCATCTTCCACGCCCTGCAGTACCACAGCATCATGACCATGCGCCGCACCGTGGTCATCCTGGGGGTCGTCTGGACCTTCTGCACGGGGAGCAGCATCACCATGGTCATCTTCTCCCACCACGTCCCCACGGTGCTCACCTTCGCCTCCCTGTTCCCCCTGATGCTGGTCTTCATCCTGGGCCTCTACGTGCACATGTTCCTGCTGGCCCGCTCCCACGCCAGGAAGATCTCCAGGCTTCCCAGGACCAACATGAAGGGGGCCCTCACGCTGACCATTCTGCTGGGAGTCTTCATCTTCTGTTGGGCGCCCTTTGTCCTCCACATCCTCTTAATGACATTCTGCCCAAACAACCCCTACTGTGCCTGCTACATGTCTCTCTTCCAGGTGAACGGCATGCTGATCATGTGCAACGCGGTCATCGACCCCCTCATCTACGCCTTCCGGAGCCCAGAGCTCAGGCATGCCTTCAAAAACATGCTCTTCTGCAGCAGGTGCCAGTGGAAGTGCTGATCCCTGATTTTAGGATATCCATGAGGATTATGCTATTAGGACAGAATGACAGAACAGATTATATAACAATAAATTATATAACAACAGGCACAAATTATATAACTAGAAAATTAGGCACTAAAATAAAGGTTAGAATGCAAAAGCACACACAGCAATACAAATGTGAGGGCTTTGGGCCATAAAACAAAAACTCTTTCGTGTCTGCATATCTAAAAATCCAGTTTGTCTAAGCTGAGGACCATTGCAACTGAACTCTAGAAGTTCAAGAACTTACCTGGGCAAGTGTGTTGGTCTGCTTTCTATTACTGTGACAAACAGTATGAGATTAATCAGCTTAAAAAGAGGAAAGGCTTATTTTAGAGGAAATGTTCATGATCCGTTGGTTCCAGTGCTTTGGGCCTGTGGTGAAACAACATATCATGCCAGGAAATAAGAAGAAAGACAGAAAGAGACCAGCACCTCACAGTGCCCTTTAGGACAAAATCTCAATGACCTCAAAACTCCCTCTAGGGGCTATCTCTTAAAGGTTCCACCACCACATAATGGCATCAAACTAGGAACCCAACCTTTCACAGGTAGGCTTCTGAGGGCCACATATCCAAACAGCAGCAGCATTCACTCAGGGCAGAAAGTTTAGTGTCTTTGTAAGCCAAAGGTGCCCAATAATTGCTGTGGCTGAATTTGCTTATCTCCCACAGCCATTCAGAATCCCACCCTGCCTCCCACTCCTCCGCCTGCCTGATATATTGTAAGCCACTTCAAATCTTGGAAGCAGCCAGAGTCTCAATTATAAATGTCAAATAACTCAACTGTATTTCCAATAATAAGAGTATCTATTTTACCTAGGAATCTTCTTTGCTTGCTTGGTATCCCACTGGCCCTAAAAATCTATTCCTGGTTAAATCTCCTCATTCATTAGAAGCAACATTTCAAAGGAGGAAATAAAAATGTAATCTACTTAATCCTATGCCGGAATACATAAAATTTAGGATTTGAAGAAGGCATGTCCAAATTTTGTGTGCTTGTCCAAATGTAAGATAAAGGCAACAGGTCCCAGTATGTATTTTGTGAAATAAAGAGAGAGAAAGAGAGAGGGGGGTATTGTTATGGTTTAGATGTGGTTCCCCCCCCCCGCCCCCTGCAGAAGCTAATATGTGAGACAATGCAAGAAGGTTCAGAGGAGAAATGATTGGGTTACATCTTTAACCTCATCAGTGAACTAATCCCTGATGGGATTAACTGAGTGTTAGCTAGAGGTGGGTGGGGTGTGCTGGAGGAGGTGGGAATTGGGGTGTGGCTTTGGAGTGTACATTTTGTATCTGGTGAGTGGAGTCTCTCTGAGCTGCTTCCCCCTGGCACCCTCTCAGCCATGATGCTCTGCCTCATCTCAAGCCCCAGGAATGCACCTGGCCTTCTGGGGACTGCGACCTCTGAAACTGTGAGCCCCCAAACAAACTTTTCCTCTCCTACAAGGGTTCTGGTCAGTCCTTTAGTCACAGCAGCAACAAGGCTGACTAAAACAAGGATCCTGCCTTTGAACTACGGCAAAACCAAGAGCAAAACAACGACTCAAGCAACTGGCTCTTTCTAGAGATGGAAGCCAAAGATCTGATGAAAAGAATTTTGCCTTCCCCACCGATGAGTCTGGCAGGAGGATCCAATCACCAGAAAATCTCATCCTACCGTCAGCCACAGAAAAGATGCCCCATGTTGAACAGTGGCATCCCAAGGAGGAATTAAGGAAGCATAAGTTCACCCGTTTTTTAACAGTGAAAGAGAAAGCTTCCAGAAGCACAGACTGGATGACGAGCCATTGCTGTTGGAGAGTAACCAACTGAGGAGAGAGGGAGGGGACAGCTTAGGGGAGGGCGGGCTTAGGTGCAGGAGCCTGGAGGGAGGGACAGTGTCCACAGGAGCAGGCAACCCTTGGCCCTCTCAGAAAGACCCAGCCCTGCCATTCAGTTGAGCAAGGAAGTAAGTGTCCAGAGACAGAAAAAAAAAAAAAAGAAGAAGAAGCAGGCAGACCCAGGACTGCAGTCCTAGGGACTTACTAGGGACTCAGCTTGTGGGACAGAAGGAGGACCCCGCACAGCAGGCCAGAGGCTTTTCTCTAAAACAGGTCCGACATCCGTTAAGGATCAGTCTTCTAACATTAGCCTGAGTTTATTAATGTATCTAAAACTACATGTAAGTATTTTCCACACTCAATTTAAAGCACAGCCCTGGGAGTCACATTTCAGTGCTGTTTCTACCCCCGAGAGAACCACACAGAGCACTTATCCCCTGGGATTAAACTGAATGTTCCCAGGGAGAGGGACCTGGTCTGAGGTTGCACAGCTCTGGGACACCACAGAGGCGAGGGACAACTCAGCACCGTCAGGAATGCTCCAGCCACATGGCCTGTAGGGCTGTACTCCTGGTAAGAGCTTTGCTGGTCCCCGTGCCTCCCAGGATCGCGGCTGTCACCACTTACGAATGTGGTCTGAGGAGAACCCCTGGGAGCTCCTCCAGCTCCCACTGCCCTCCCTATGCTGTGTCTACAGGAAGCAAAATGGAGAAGGCTGTCCAGACAGCAAGAGGTACCAGCACCAGAGAGAGGCCTTTCACTGCTTGGTGGCTCTGCTCAATCCAGAGCAGGGACTTGGACCTCTCAGCGCATGCATAATTCACAACAAAGACAGCCCGAGCGGCACATATTCGTGTGTGGGGAGGGTCAGTAGGGATCCAGGATTTCCCTCGACGAGGACTTCAATTCTTTTCAGCAGCCTGTTAAATCTTTAAACGCTTGGCAGATGCCCTGAGTACGTGCTCAGTTTGCTGATGAGCTAGCCTGGGATCTCAGCCTGGCTTCCACTTGGCCTTCTAAGAAGGGGAGCGGAGTCGTGGGTGGGACGCGTGTCTCTTCTTGTTTGGAGACAGGCCCGGGTGCTTTTCCTGCACCAGCTTCTCGGAGGAGAAGGAAGTGCAAAGTGGGAGGTGGCAGCCGGGCGGCAGCCAGATGCCAGCCTTAGCCGACATCTCCAAGTCCTGGGCAAAGGCTCGAGGTCCGGCTTCCTCTACACAAAATCGAGGTTGCCCAGAACCTGCCTCTTCTGTTGACTCTAAGGATGGACCTCAGAGTCAACTGCAGGTGTAAACACTGGGTACGTGCCAGGTGCTTCTCTTGACGTCCTCAAACAAGGCTCCATCCAAACACACTCCAACTGGAGGCCCTTTCCATCCTTCTGGCAAAGGACCTCAAAGCTAGGTCTCCATCTCCAGGACCCCGGTCATCTGCACAGCCCCCTCCCTGAGGAGCAGGGAGGACCGGGGTCCTCAAGAATCCTGCCGTGCCCTAGGGTTCAGAGCGGGACTCTCAACATTCTGATTATTTTCAAGACAAATGTTTTGTGCTGTTTGTTTTGATTCTTTAAATGGGGAACCCTGTTTATAAAAGAGACCCTGTGAAGTCTGTCCCATCCACAAGTCCCCGTCTGTCCTTGCCCTCTCCACAGGCAAGGATACTTGTGTCTTTTCTATCCTTCCAGACTCTTCATGCACATGGAGAAAAATATTGATATTTATTCTTACCATACTGCTTTTTACTCAAAACACATTCTTCACCTTGTTTTCCCACTTCCCAGCCACTTTGGAGGCTGTTCTCCTGCTCCTTTGTGGTGCCGTAATACCCTTTGGTAGAAATAAATGTGCCGCAGTTCATTTAACTATTAATGGTCTTTCAAACAAAATACTTTGAACAAATAATCCACAAGCATCCAATGCAAATGATTCCTAAGCACGTGAAAACTCACACATCTCTTATGATAAGAAAGATGCTAATTCAAATGACCTTGCAATCCCATTTTTCTCCTATCAGACAGCCAGAACTGTAAGGTTATTTACTGCACTGCCCCCAGGAAGCCGCTGCAGAAGACCAGTGCCCTTGGTGTTGCTAGAAGTGCAAACTGGCCCAATCCCTAAAGCAGGACATGCTGATGTCTACAGTTACAAAAATCACAAACACATGCCCTGGGAATTGGCATTACCCTTTTGGAATTCATGCTCCAAATGTGAAATAGATAAAACAGGTGATATAGATGTCAATGATGGTTCATGCCACATGGAAACAACCCGAATACCCGTCACATGTTTTCTGATCTTTGTCTAAATGCCAGCCTAAGTAACCCTTATAAAGATGAAGGTCTTTTAGCCCTAGGTTAGCCAGTTGCCAAGAGCAGATGCATTGACAGATTTCTCACGACACCTCACTCCTGTGCAGGGTTAGGACTGAAGTCACAGAGGATTGAATTCAGGGGTACCTGGCCACTGAGCCACCTCCCCAGCCCTATTTTGTTTTTTTATTTAGAGACAGGGTCTCACTGAGTTATTTAGCGCCTTGCAGTTGCTTAGGGTGGCTTTGAACTCGTGATTCTCCAGCCTAGCCTCCCAGCCACAGGGATTACAGGCATGCACCACCACACCTGGCCACAGTCAGCTACCTCTGACTCTGTATGTTTTGGAACTGATACCAGCAACCCTAGCACCTACTTGAAGACCATGAACATAACTCTAATTGTGGAGCCTAAATTAGCTCATTCTCTCTAAGCAGTGATGGCTGTTTAGTGCCTAATAAATATCCTGGCTTAATAAATATCCACGTTTCCTGATGAGTAGGAGCAGCCCAGGTACAGGTGAGGTGAATGTGGCCCTGGAGAGGAAGGAGCAGAGCAGGTGCAGAGGTCTAGAGGTGACCCCACCCCCATGGCCAGAGGGGAGCACTCCACCCACAGGTGTGCAGGACCATGAAGGAAACAGGGCTTCCACTAAGGAGTATTATCTGTTCTCTAAAATACTTTATTAAGCCAAAAGCAGAATGAATAATAAGATGTCCATATATAATTGGCAAATACATATTCAAAATATACAACTGATAAAGCATACAAAACGTCACAGTTGGCCATCCACACCCAAGGAGTCACCCATAGGCAGCTTAGAATGCGGTTACACCTGCAATGGTCATGTCTGTAAGGAACTCGTAGACTTTTTTTCTTGTGATTCCTTGAACAAAACAGTAAACAACAACTTACATACTATTTCCATTGTATTAGATATTATAAACAATCTAGAGATGACTTTAAGTACCCAGGAGGACATTCTTAGTTTATATGCAGACACTGCACCAGTTTTACACACAGGACTTGAACATCTGAGTATTCTGGTCCCCGCTGGACATTCTGGAGCATTTTGGTTCTCACTGGAAGTGCTGGAGCCAATCACACATGGATACCAGGGGAGGGCTGCATCCTACTGATAAGAGTTCATGATCAAGAGAATCAGAGCATCGGGGGCAAGTGTACCGAGATGGAGAGAAAGAGCGTCAGGTCAAAAATGGAGCCAGACAATTAACAGGGAGCCTTAGCCTGCCATGTTAAGGAAATCCGACTTCATCTTAAGTTAATGGGGTGATATTGAAGGGTCTGTCGCCAGGAGGAGAGTCATTAGCAACTTTTCATATTAGAAACATCTCTAGCTTTTGTGTGGCTGGAATTAACCTGAGTCGAGAGATGTCCAGGTACTATTTTTTGACTCTGGGACAGAGGGGATGGTGGCCCAGAGCCCTATGAAGGGGAGCAGGGACTGGAGGTGGGACCCTGGGGGCACAATGGACACATAAGGGAAGGGCCAGAAAGGAATCAGTCGGAGATGCCAGCATCTGACTCGAGCTGAGGCATGGTGTGTGGAGATGAGGAACCTGTGAGGTGCCCAGGAGACAGAGGGGCCATCTCCAGCGCTCAGGAGGCCGTCTGGGTGTGGAGCACCAGAGCGAGGGCACAGAGTGGGCAGTGCTGCAGCCCCAGGGTGAAGTCAGGCTTGCCAGCTGCTGGGTCTGTGAGGAAGCTCCAAAGCCACTTGCTTGCAGCTGCGAGGAAGAGATCTCTTCCCTGCAGGAGTGGGTGACACTCTGACTCCTGCTGAGCGTCCCCAGGA